TAAACATTAATTATGTAACATTTTACTCAATTAATAAAGATCACGAGAAATGCCTCACTTAACACTTTAAAAAAAATTAATAAATCAAAAGTTTGCTTTTATATAACCTTTTTTATTTTAATAGGTTTTAATTTATAATTATTAAAAAATTTTAATGTTTTATTTTTATATAACTTAATTAAATTTAAATATAATTTAAATATTTAATTATAATACTGTATATATTATAAGAACAATAATTGAAAAATTTATTACTATATTACAATATAATGTTGAATAAAGATATATAGATTTTGATAAAGATAATTAAAAATATTAAATATTAAATAAATTTATAAAAAAAATTTTTATTATTGTATATTTTTTTCTAATATATATTTTTTTCTTTTATATCTATTAAAAAATTTCTAAAAATTTCAAAAACCTTTTAATTTTTAATTAAATCCTAATTAAGCAAAAATATTATATAATTATCACTTAATTTTTTTAATCTTTTTATAATATATGAAAAATATTTATATATTTTTGTCTCTATCAATATTAAATCAAAAATAAATATATATTTGAAAATCCGAAAAAATATTTATTATAATATTAACTTATAAATTAATAAACTTGCCAATAATATTTTTAATCATATTTTTTATTATAAAAAAAATAGTTTTAAATAAATATATAAATAAAATAAATTTAAAATAAATTTTATATATAAGTATTAAATAAAAATTTTTTAAAAAATAAATTAAAAATAAAAAAATAATTTATTTTAGTAATTTTATGATTTTATTTATATTTATATAATATATTTTTATATTAAACAATTTTAATCATTAATAATAATTTAGTTAACAAATCAAATTAAAAATTTAATTTTTATTTAATTATTAATAAATTTAAAAAAATTTTTGCTAAAATATTAATTTAAAATTTATTTGTATTTATTTAATATTTAATTTTTAATCAAAAAAAATAATTAATTAATCAAAATATAAAAATCAATAATTATAAGAATTATTTATAGTATTGCAGGTCAGGGGTCTATTAGCAGTAATAGCGAAATCCTAGACTTTATGACACTTCAACAGAAGTATCTGTTATAACAGGGGATTTAAAGACAAAAAGAAATGTAGATTTGGCAAGTTTGTATGATTTGAAGAGATTTTATTAATCAGAACAGTATAATAAATAGGTCAATTTTTAACTAGTGAATACTCTTTTATTAACTAATTTTTCACTTTTTTTCTTTTGCTATATTTCCTTACATCATTTTTATACTTTTCTTATAGTAAAAGAAAAGAACCGAAATAAAAGAAATAAAAGAAATAACAAAAATAAAAGAAATAACAAGATCAATATAGATCATATAATACAATAATTACAAGTTTTAAAATTTTTAAAATTTAATTATATAAAAAACAATATTAAGATAAAAAAAGTAGTTATAGCAAAAGAATTTTTTTAATTAAACATATACAATATATATAATTTTCTTTGCATTGTTAATAATGCTTTTAAACTTCTATAATAGAAAACACAAAAAATTTTATGTAATAATTTTATGACTAATTGCCAATATGGTATTAAGTTTAAGATTAAATATAGGACAAATAATTGTTAAATCAAGTTATTAATTAAAAGTTATACTTTAAACCAAGTCTATTTGGCTTTAGGCCTTACAAATCTCAGTATTAAAAAGAAAAAAGCATTTAGCTCCTCACAGAAATCTTATAAAAGATTAAGTTTTGATTTGATTTTATGAAAATATTAATCTATTCTTTTGGAAAAGAAGTGACTAAAATATATTTTTTAATAGAAGCCTAAAAAGTATGGAAACTTCTAAGGAATTAATGACTGGTAATGAGATGTTAATGTTGAAATTTAAAGCTTGGTCAAAAGATAGTGAGTTTTTTTTTTTTTTATTAAGAAAAAATCCTTTGGCAAAATTTAAAATATATTTTGCAAAAGAGTGTAGTTAATTAATGAATAGTTATTGCACTGTCTCTTGGATTAAATAGAAATAAGTGAATATATTTTGGTTCAAAAGATAATATGTAGAGGGTAAAGGTTTTTTTGACGAAGAAAGTCGAATTATAAGATGAAAGTTGAGAAGAAACTTGTATTTGTCACGGAGGTATTTTTCGTAATCAGATAGTTTGGTAAGATTACTGACTTTCTCCGACTCAAATTCGACTAACTTCTTTAAGATCAGAGACTTCGGCATTTTCCTTTCTAAATTCTGCAATCTCAGCTAAAAGTTAACATTTAATCCTCTTAATGTATCAAAGGGGTGAGAATTTGTCCTTATTTTTTTACAAAATATGCGATATATTAAAAAAATCATGTGTTTTTCCTCACGGCCCTTAAGCAAAATTTGCCAAAAATAAAAAAAAAATTAATAATCATGCAAAAATAAATACAATGTGTGAGACTTGCCCGGAACACATGACGTTTATTCCCTAGGAATCCGTTTCTACTATGCATAATTTTTTCTCGAACAGCATTCCTCTAATTTAGCCTTTTCTTTGGGGGAATCGTCTTTCGCGCATGCCTATCTTTTAATAAGCCTACTACAACTACACTCAAAACCTTTTTCAGCCATTAAACAACGTATAAGATCCTAAAGATTCTTTATATAAAAAATTTTCGGGAAAGTTATCTTTCTGAGCTGTTATAGAGGTAATCTAAATCATCTCTACCCCTCTCACTTCGATTTCTCTTTCTCTTCTCATTTGTCTGGTTGATATTCTGAGCAACGCCTACAGGGGATAGTCATCCGTTAACTAACTTATATAAACTAAATATTTTCTTATTCGTGGAATGTGCCGACTCTTTCGATGATATCCCGGGATAACTCATTAACCAACGAATAACAGAAGTCCGTATGGGTAACTAGTATGGTCAGGCTAGAAAGAGCTCCTTGCATTCATGCTTTCGATACCATCCCGGGATAACTCGACAACCAGAGAATAACAGTTAGTTCAGTGTTTATGTGAAGAACTGGTACGGTCGGGCTAGAAAGAGAGAAGGACGCGTACAACGTACAGCTTTATTCAGAAAGTATGGCTTATCACTGGATTATCATGTGATCTGTGACACCTACACAAAATAAATCGCGTGCGCATAATTCCAATAATTATAGTAGAACCATCAGACAGTCTCAAGAAAAAGCTTGTTTCATAATTCCTTTCTAACGACTCTTCTTCCCTATATGACTGGAATATTTAGAATTTTCTCTTGGAATTTACAAAAAAGAGAAGAACCTTGTCAATAAAAATAAGTGGTTTTCGCTAAAGGTTTTCAATTCTAAACACAGTTCTATGTCAGACGCGTCAAGGAAGGTGAAAGAGGTGACCAAGGCTCTGCAGGGTGAGGTGCATAATAACGTTCAATTAATGAATTATACTGAGCTTTTGATTTAATGATTTGCCAGGTGTATTTGGCTAATGTTACTTTGTCCTGGGGAAATTTCCGTTGCATAAACCGAATATTGTTATCAGCGCACAAAACTTTTATCGGATTAAAAAAATTATTTTCTTAATACCGGTATACCGACTCGAGAACTTATATTTTAAAGGGTGATTGAGAAGGATGTTATTAAATTAAAAAATTTCACTGATTTTTCAAAATTCTTGAGACACTGTCGGTGTTGGTGCTTCCACAACATCACCACCTCGCTATACTCCTACAACACCATCTCTACAATGCCATCAACACTATCACAGAACGTTCTTAAACGTTCTCTTAATGTTTACGCGACAAGTTTCGAAATTTATTGGGTGTCTTGGAAGCTAGACATCACAATAAGTAATGTAAACATTAAATATGTACTTTTGAGCTTAAATAAAAATTCTAGAAGACGAAACTGCAACGTCACTCGAATACAGCATAGTTGATCTCAACGACGGTATCATTTTAGAAGCTTTGGGGTAATCAGTGCTATCGCATTTTGAAGCAAATCGGTAAGAATATAAACTTAGGGGTGCTTTATCCACAAGGTTGTAAGAATAATGAAGCCATTTAATGTTGTAAGTAATTGAAGAATAATTTATGGTAATTAGGTATTGAAAATCCTTTCTTGGTGGTAGCTTTGTTCTGTCGAATTTATCCCATTAATTTGTCCAATAATATGAAAATATACCTATCGGAAAAGAGGTTTATTCTTTTCTATAAAATAACCTTTTTCGAAAAAATGCTTGAAGAGGAATTTTTCAAACTTTCCACCTAGACAAAACTAATTTATCATGAAACTATCAAGAAATTAGAGCTGATCAACATCCATAGCTTTATACCTTCCTATATTCTCTGGAATGCAATTTATCTTATCAGCTGTGAATTTGCTTACGACTTTCTTCAACTGATAGGAATTATAACTTCGAAATTATGACAAATGAGAGATATTTAGATTCAAAGGAGTCTATTTAAAACTTTTTATTACGTGCGTCATGGTTGGCCACGATATTTTCCACTTTTATGATCATGATCAAGTATTTTGTGATTAAGAGCACTTAAAGCTTCTCGATATTCTTTTTGCATATTATTCTTTTCTGAGTGATCTTTTCCTATAGACCATCTGAAAATATTTGCGAATTTTCGACTGGTATTTTGATTGTTACAATAAAAATATCTGTTTACTCTTATACTTGCGATAAACCATTAATGCCGCCGTCATGTCGATCAATGATAATTATTAAAAAACAGGCACAACACGGAAACCTCCCTAATATTAAACCTAAATCAGGTCATTATATCAACGCTTGACATGGATATGTCCACATTTTCGCATGCAAATACAACCTCACCCATTGAACCCAATCGTAGGGTAGATATTCGTACATCAAAGAAGAACAATAAATTGAAAAATTTACTGCCATTGAGTACAACAACATCTGTTCGACGTAATAACCTTCAATATTGCATTTTCGATCTTTCAAAAATGTTATATGGTGATTTAGTAAAAGCATTGGAATTTTGGGCTGACGAAGAGAGCTTGAACGATCATGATCCATAAAGTCCATTGTCCTTAGATTTATTTTTCGGAGAAGGAAATAATACAAGAAGATTAATTGTAAAAGGTGATTCACAATATTCTCCTTTCATCATCTGTATAAAAATTTTCTCATTATATTGATTTTTTTGAAGTTTTATCGCACGATTCCTCAGAGCAATCTATTGGTTTAGGTGGCCTAGAAGTTAATCTATGACTGCCACTGGAATTATGGTTAAATTCTGTGAAGAAAACGAGAACTTTCTAATCTAGTCCCTTAGGTACGCAGATGGCTTTGATTAACCAAATTATTTTATACTCGTTTTATAATATTAAAATATTAATATTTAGCCGGACGGGATGTATGGCAATCTTTAATGCGCCTGCAAGCGGAGAAGCTTGCCATAAAAAATGATCGCCACGGGCGGTTATGTGTTGGTTAACACCTAACATAAAGCTAAGATGTATCGGTAAGTGAAAGATTCAAATCATGATTAAGCAAAAATCTAATTTATCAATTTTTATTTATACAGTGAGGCTATTGCACTCACAAAGCTGCGGCTTATTCCTGAAGACCCAGTAGCATCAGAGTTGTATTGTTGGGCTATTCAACTTGAGAAAGTAGAGGCTTATGAACAGGCTGCTATATGGTAAACTTCGGATTTCAACGATGGAATTTAATTCATACTTGAATAATTTTTTTACTAACATACAGTATGTAAAATTTAATAAATTACTTAATCGTAATTAAGAACTAATGATGATGTCAAAGATGTCTGTAAGAAAAAAAAATCGGGAAACGATTAATAATAGAGAATTAGATAAGCAGCAAGAAAGAAAGGATATAGCATACAAGCAAAAATATTCATATAAATACAATTTAACAAATCAAGATAATTGTAAAAGTGCATAAACCATTTAAGAAGTCTCAGTTATATGCATTACTTATAGTATATACTGTATATTGATATCATTATTTATTATAACATTATTTTGAAGTATTGCATTACTAAGAATTTGATTATTTTCTAATGCTTTAATTAGCCAAAGATCCATTGTTTTCATTTATTTTACTATAATAAAAATTTTTTTAATATCATTTTTTAAATAAAAAACCCATTATTTAAAATTAGATAAAATCATTCTCTTAAAAAAATTTGAAAAAAAATTTTTTTATACAATCTGGAACAAAAAAAACTGCTTAAAATTAATTTTTATTTTTATTTATAATTTAATAATTAATTAATATAAAAAATATTTATTTATTTATTTAAAGATATAAAGAATAAAAATAAATAAATAATTTTTTAAATACATACAGTATATAACAAAACTTTTTGGATTTTTTTATTTATTAATTACTCAAAAACTACTATATAGAAATTAATAAAAAATATATTAACATCTAACTGAAAATCTAGAGATTTTATTGATATATAATTAATAATTAATTCTTTTACCTTCCTTTTCAATTAACATTTTACATCTTTCATTCATTGAATCTATAAAATTATTTAAAACCTTATTTGGAATTTTATTCCATTCTTCTATTATAAATTGTTCTAATTCTAAAATATTTTTTGGTAATCTCATTTCTACATTTCTTTTAGTGATAGCCCAAAGGTTTTC